TATCGGGTCTATATGTTTTATTTGTTTTCATAGTATCGGTCAACCGGTCGGCTAAGCCGCTTTGAACTGAGCGGTCAGTATCGGTCACGGTCAATAACCTCCCTAACCCCGGGTCTTATTCAAGAAGCAAGCCAGTAGGATGATGAATCATATCTAAGTCTTATTCATGGGTTATTATTATTTTTGGGATACTGTATACTCTTAAATTATTTATGATTTATCTACTTTCGTTAAATTATTTGATTCGTATTAAATTAACCTTTTATGGCTCAGTAAGCAGCCTGTCACCAAATACCAAAAATTCAATGAAAACTGATAAAAGCCTTCTTTATCATAAAAATACTATACTACATTATATTAATGCATATTTCACTTCTCATCATTTTGACCTATTAATAAAAATGATAATGAATAGAACCGAATAAGCCAATCACGTCACTATCATAACTGAGCTAAAAATTAAAATTTTATTTTGAATGTAAATATGGCATATTAAATAATTCATGTGTGAATTTGAACCATTAAGTATAAGAATACATATTAAACATTGTGTAAGTATAAAAACAATGGCAATATAACAAATTCATTTGAAAATTGATTATTTGGATACAAAGTATTTTTTAGTGACCTTTTCTAATTCAATGCAAATAGATGGTTTATTTTAGGAGAACAAGATGTTGATTCACATAGCTTAGCTAAAATTTATGAAATTAAGTAGTAGGCATATTGCTAATATATAGTAAATATATAGTAATAATAAAATAATTATATACTGTAGTAATTTTAAAACTGAAAATATTAATATAGTAGGCGTATTGTTAACATATACTAAATTTAAAGAAAATCGCTACTGTCAAGTAACTATATAATTATTTTATAGTTAATTAAAAAGTATTAAAGGTGCAAATTTGGCAGTTTCAACAATAAAAATATTGCGTATTAAAAAGATAAATAAGCTAAAAAGTATAAATCGTTTAACAACGGGTCTAACAAATTACAAATATAAGAAATTAGCCAATTAAAATCTAAGAAATCTAAAAAATTAATAATAATAAAAAATCTAAGAAATTAATAATAATAAAAAAATTTATAATAATTAATAAAAGTCAATTACTGTTTGTATATTAGTGTATCAAACACAGATACTTATATAATACTTCAAATTTCATATATAAAACCACTTTTAATGTTCTAACAAAAAAGATACCTTACAAACATTTTAACATAAATTATGTCTTATCCTAACCTTAAAACCTATTTAATCCAATATAATTTAATCTTAACTTTTGTATTATAATTTAACCATAAATTTTGTATTATAAATCATGCCCGTGTTTCATTCAATGGAATAAATTAAATAATTTTCTTAATAAAAAATTTTTTATATTTTTCTTAACATGAGTTTACACGATTCAAGTTCCTGTGATAAATCGACAGCTGAATTGATTGATTCATCATTAGCAGGCATAACATCAATTTGTCTTTCATCATCATCAACCATAGAGATCGATATATGTATTTCATTTGTGGTGGAATTAAATGGATCATGTATATTATTTGTATTACTTGTATTAGTTTGGTTAGTATGATTAATTTTAGAACTACCTATTAAGGGATCAGATAAAGATAATTGATTTAAATTGTTAGTTAAAGAATCTAATGAGGAAGGATCTTTTAAATGAACAGGATCAGGATGAATTAAATGACCATCATTATTTTGATTGTTAAGAGTAATATCCTGTTTTGAATCACGTTTTGAATCATTTTTTTGATTATTATCAAAAGAATTGGCCGGTGATATAAGTTTAGGTGATATTAATCGAGAAGAAAATCTTGGAACCGAGAAAAGTTTAATCAATACCATGTATCTTAACCATTCTAAAGGAGAAGGTTGTACAACTAACCCATTATTATTGTTATTAATAACTCTATTATTAGTAGAATTATTATTATTAAAGTTATTATTAATAGAATTTCTATTAACAATATTATTTATAATATTGCTATTGGTATCGTTATTTGTATCGACGTTGATAATATCGGTAACATCATCAGTAATAATATTCTTTTTAATGATATCAACCTTATTGCAATTTATAGTTTTCAATTCAACAAAATCATTTGATTTTCTTATCATGCTGAATTCATCAGTAATGGCTTTGTTGTGAGATAAATGAGGATAGTGAGACTCATAAGAGTTAACATTGGAGATCCACCAACTTAATTTAATATCCTGGAAGGCACGAGTAACAGCAATATCTTGAGAAAACACTAAAGCATTTAGTAACCCTAAGAAACAAAAGGTTAGAAAAAAAAATAATCAAAGAATGATCAAATAAAAATAAAATAAATATAAATATATATAGTATGTATCTACCGTGAAGTGATAAGCAAACATTGCAAAGTAATAACAGAGGGAAAGAGACCACTTTATGAGTATAAGCGTAAGTTTCAAGTAAAGAGTTAAAAAATTGGACAATCAATGGTACCACAGGATACCACACAACCCTTCTGACAACCGAATAAATCAAAGATTTATTAATTACAGAGGGATGGCAAGATTTCTGAGAAGTTGGAACAGATTCCAAAGCATCATCTTGTTCTGTCGCAATTCTGAGCTTTCTAATGACCATGATAACTATAATCGCACAATATAAGATGGACGCATCTACCCAACCAAAAAAAGTAATCCATTGCCATATTATACTATGTTCTTCACCCGTATCTCGATACCAACAAGATCTGTAATGGAAATAAATATAAAATAAATATAAAATATATATAAAATAAATATGAAATAAACATATATACATACAGTTCGACATGATCATAACCATACATATTAACAGAAACAGGAAGAAGAGAAAGAATAAGGGCCAAAAAGAATGAAATTATAAAATAAAATTTTTCAAAATTAAAACGAATTCTATATTCGTTTACGAATATTATATGGAGGTTCTAAAATAAATAAAAAAATGAAATGAAATATAAATATATATACATATATATAGTATAAAGGACACAGTGAAATTCAATTATACATAATACATACCAAAACTATGCATACGATAAAGAATATAGAAGTAAGTGCAAAAAATACGGTTCCCCAAGTCTTAGATAAAAAGAAAGTCAAGAAAAATTTTTTTTAAAAAAAAAACAAATCCAAATTAAAAAGAAAACTAATAGATATCTTACCGCATATGCACACAAAAAATCGGAAGGATGATCCCAAACAAACCACATCAAAAGATGACAAGTATAACATAAATCAACGAATAAAGCCGCAAAAGCTAAACGAAAGGAAACCCGGTCAGCAAGATTAGGATAATATTTTTGTATTAATAAAAATACTATGAGTAAGATAGCGCTAGAGACGAGAGAAATGATATTCAAAGGAACACATATTTTAGCTATGAAGATGAATCTTTCTCTTGATATTGGAATGATAAAAGACATTATCGATTATTCTTGTAATGTGTTAGAAGAGATTCGACACGAATTGATTTAAAAAAATGTATATATCAGTATACAGGCATATACATCATTAAAAAAGTAAAAAAGAAGGTGTTATATAAAATGCGAACAATTGAAAGTATCAAATTCAATTAACGGATAATCTGCTCATTGAATTATATATATGTATGTGAGAGTCTGTTTGCTCAGATTTAAACCAATAATCATGATAGATATGTCAATCAACAAATAATCCCTTAATCAAATTCATTAATTAATCTATACCACTATTTTGTCGAATCAAATAATTGTCCATTTCAAATTACCCATATTTGAAGACGTCAAAAATCCATATTAGGATTAAGGTTATCTTAGCGAGATTTATAGGTATAACCGTCTCCCTGTACTTCCGTTTTTATATTTCTGGCGTTTGCTGTTTCTGCTTTGTCGGATTGATCCGTTCTAATTTACAAATTGATTGGTTAATAGTCACATGATTGGAACCGTTACAGATGCACCCTCAGTTTGTCATCATTGGTACCACAATGAATGACATTTATAGATTTATCTTCAAATAGCACGAATGGATATTGAATTTGGTAAAAAGGAAATCAGTAGAATCATTGTGTCACATTACAATGCTGCATTATTTAGATTTATAATTTGTTAAAGATTTATAATTTTGATTATTTTGACCGATCTATTTTGCTTTATATGGATATGTGGTGTAATAAATCACATATGAACTGGTCTTTTTTCGAATCTGGATTAAAGGCCGTGTAATTTTTTCTATAGCTAATGCATATCTGCAATCAAAATTTACTGGAAATTCAGGAAAGGAATTTTTCATTGTAATTTTAATAAAGATATATTTTAGATAGCAATAGCCAATTGCTATTTACAATTGTTGTCAATTATAACAATTATTATGGTTTAAATACTAGTGATGTAACCCAAACTTTTTGGGACATCTGCGATAATTAGTATAACATAGTTTCGGCAACATGAAAAAGAACAGCCGAAACTAATGCTATACTATATCCTTTAACTTTACAAGTTCTGACTAGATTCTTTTAATTGATACTATATCTATCGCACGGTTTTGGACGTCCCAAATAGTTTGGGTTACATCTATATTAAATACAGATAATGATGACTAGAGGTGCTCAAAATTAAAATGTCATATGCCGTGATCTATTAAACAAATTTAATTCTTAATAATCATTAAGTGTGCCAAATAAGTAACATTTTTTAATCTCCATAATCCCATCACTAAATACAAATTTGGGTAACAAATTTTGCCTAGATTTTCGAATATATTTCTCGTCTTTGTTCCTTTTTTTTGAACCTTTTTTCCGGATAGATGAATTGATAATCACTGATCGTCAAAGACAATCTTAATGATGCAATAGATTCGTCCTAATGAATTTTACGACAACTAGTTATGGTTGTGATTACGGCAAAATCCGCACGATGCACTGTATTTTTAATTAAACTATATGTAAAACAAAATTGCATGACATTGTATTTTATTTGAGTTTGCCAAGAGAAGATATACACTCTAAATATGGAATCTTTTGTAAGCAGATTTCGAACTTCCAAAAATCAATTATGTACAAGTACATGTAGTTTAGACGCCAATCAATGCTTAAGTTCTTTTGATCGCATGTACTATAAAGTTATTTTTGAAAGCCTAATTTTTATACAAAAGTTCTATATTTGTCGGCTAACGCGGAGTTAATTCAGCATATGATCTTCATACTGCATAATTACATTCCTGATATCTAAGTAATATACTAACTATAATTGCATCAAAAAAGGAACTCTAAACCTCCCTCCGCTTTAGCCAACCCCTATATTTGGAATGTATATTCGGTAACACTAATTTAGAATGTTGCCAAGAGATAACGATAATGACAACTTTTTTTCGTATGACAATCAAAGCTTACGTAATACTTTTGATCACATGACTATATAGATATTTTTTAAAAGCTTTATATTTAGAATATACATTTCCAGCATTATTAAAGTTCGTTTTAATTGAACAATATTTGTATGACTATCCCCATGATTACCCGTGATAATTAACCAATTAAATTAAAAATTCATCGCTCAAAGATTACTAGAAAACAAGAGAAAGCCTCATATCAAAAAACTTTCAAACTAACAAATCTGTATATAATATTTTATTATGTATATTTAGAGAATAGATTGATACACTTAAAGTAGATAAATGTGATTTTTATTATTAATAAGTTCGAAATTATTAAAAAATTTACACTATGCATAAGATATAAACCAAAAAATTAAATTTACAGACAACACACTACCAAGACTGACAATCCTAAACATTAAACCTAAATCTTTATCACTAAAGAGCCTGCACTTATTCAAACTAAACAGTTAGTAATAAAAATTTATATGAATCTAACGTCTTAAGCATAAAACGTTACAATTATCTTACTTTACAGTATAACTTTACACAGTCTAATAGACAACAGTAAATTTGTCTTCTAAGTAAAGTCTCTTAATTTTAAGAGTATATTCTAAATAACTACCTTAGAGTATGAATAATACGCTAGTAAAATAAAAAATTTATGGTTAAACCGTAAGAGTTAGATTAAATTGATTAAAATACTAGTAGAGGCTGAAGCAGCCTGAGATAACAATTGGAGAGTTGATGAGCCTAATGTAATTTTCAATAATAATGGAACTTGAGTAAAAAAATTTATATTTTTTTTCCGTTTTTCATATAAGTGAACTACCTTTTCCTATTTGATCCATAGAGATCCGAAAGTTTTAAACGACACTTCAGAATATGAAGAACGTACTTTTATGAAAAAATATTCACTGGTCATTCGAACAACTGGGGGTTGCAATATTACCTAAAAAAAGAATTTTCGTACGACTTCATAATGCATAATCGGGTAGATTGAAGAACAGTTAACTCAGTGATCATCACTACCCCAGTATCGCCACCAAAAAAGTACGGACACGTGATCGCGCCAAAAAATCGTTAAGTTTATTTAAGGTTGGGTTAGGGTCTATGTTATGGTTATAATTTTAGTGTTTTAATAGTAAAATCGTTCAAGGAAATTTTTTTGTTAATGCACGAAAGGTGGTTTCCTATGCAGATTTTTGAGTTATAAGCGATTTTTGACAAAACGAACGTTTGTTTTGAATTTTCCTGATCGTGTTACGTTACACCTGATCTTGAAATCTGATTGGTTTGCGCCACAAAAAAATCACGTGTCCGTACTTTTTTGGTGGCGATACTGGGGTAGTTCACCAGCATCTACACAGCATCACCGCCAGAATTCTATTGTCACGTAATGGAAAAATTTTTTAAAATTTGTTTATGTGTCCATATTGGGGCTAGGTCAGGGACAGTGTTTTCTGTGTTTCACAGAAAACCACAGAATTTCTTCTAATCACAGCTAACTACAAAAATCGCCCTTAGTCACCACAGAATGTCACAGAATTCTACAAAATGCGCAAAATACCACAGAATTATAAAATATGGCCAATAAATTCGGGCCGAGAGTCGGGAACTCCCGGAAAGGTAGGCACTAAATTAACGTAAATTACGAGCGTGTTTTTCGGGGAGTTACGGAACTATATGGTTTAGGAAAATTCTGATACCCAAATTTTATTTATAATCACGTTAAATCACAGAAAGAATAAAAGGTTTTAAAATAAATGTGCTTATAAAGAGAATTTTTATATGATGTGCTATGATGTGCTTATATAGAGGGTGACTATAGGGAGGTTTGACTGTATTCGATTTTTATAGATTATCGATTATCTATTAAAAACTAGATTAAATTACTCATTATATAGTTGTCATATAAGTTTTTTATTTAAACTTTTTGATCTTTGCTGTACTACATGTATTTATTTAAATCTTTAACGTATAATGAAACATGAAACATTATCGTTATATAACAAGAGCATTCACATGCTACTACCATGTTATAAATTCATATCTCTATATTTGATGCCACAAAATCACATTTTTAAATAAGACAGACGATTCCAAAAATTCTGTAACCTAAAATGCATTAAAAAACATTTGTAATATTATGGCAATAAACTCAATGTTCAACCTGATTAAATGTGACGTAAATTACACGGATGCAAATTATCAAATCGGTTATTGAAAGCTGAAAACTCTTTGAACATGACGTATGCCTATTCATGAATTAACGTAAACGTTAGCATTTACTTCAATATATATATTATGTTTTTATTCATGTTTGGCTCGCTATTTGGAATGGTTTAAGTGCAAGTCTTGCTTTATATATCTAAATTGTTTTATTAAAATAAAACAAATATACAAGTATATTAGTCGTAGTAAATTAACAATAAAAATGAATAAATAAAATACAAACCCGTTGTGCCAATCTTCCAACATTTCCATCAACACTAACAACTTCCCATGCGAAATCTATACCAAACATCATCTTAATTCCATATACAATATGTTTAGCATGGATTTCTTTCATGAGTATGTAGTCATCACTTGTAGTATTTGGAATTTTACTAATTTTACTATCAGAATAATCATTGTTTGTAGTATGTGTACTATCAGAATCAAGGACTCTTTGTACTAATGTGAGAACCGATTGTTCAATGACATGAAGATCATCTGATTTTTGTGCAATTGCTAATAATAATTGCATATAAAGAATTAAGATTTAAATGCTATAAAGGTAAATAAAAATCCGGACGTTATTAATAATTATTAATTTCAAACTTACCTGCAATTTCAAACGGTTGAGAAATAGTCATAACTTCGTATCCGTCATCATGATGATACCTAAATTCGTAGGTACCTGTTTCCCATGGTAAAAGGTCACCTTTAAACCACACTTCACCACTATCAACAACTTCCCCTTCCTCAGGTGATACGTAAACAAATCTTCCTCTACTTGAAACATTTGTAACTAATTTAGATGAATTGGAAGTGACCTTATATATTCCAATCCAATCTCTACGTGTATGATTTTGGGATGCAGTCCATGATATATGTATTGGTACTCCAAGTTCAAATGTTATTGGCTCCGCTTTTCGATTGTCATCTGAGTTTTGCTGTGAAGATAAATTAGTCATACCTTCCGGTAGTGATAGCGTAATCGAATAATGTTTAAGGTCATCAGCCTCGTTAACTTGGCTAAATAAATTATAAATAAATAATAAATAAATAAATCAAGTTTGTAAAAAAAAAAATCTTGATTTACAGATAAAAAAAAAAAAGAAAAAAAAGTCCTTTACCGAATCATATATCTATTCTCTGAAAGCCTAAATATTCTAAGCAAAGATTGAGGTATAAGCAAAGCATGAGTTTCAGATACAACTTCATTTAATTTCGGTTTAGCAGCTTCAACAAATACGCCAAAAACTTCAGCTGTTTCTTCCATAATTTTTTCAACCACTTCTTTAACGATTCGTTCAACTACTTGAATCTCATGAACAATTTCCTCACTAAATTTTCCTCGAAGGAATTTGGCACGCTTTATCGTTTTAATGACACCAGCTTCTTTCCGGATTTTGTTGCCATATAATTTTTTCATATGAGGACTCTCAACATATCGCAAGAACAAAAGTTTTGAGATTTGAGCAAATAATGCCAGGCCAAAAATAAGCCAACTATTCGCCATAAGGGTGATACCCCAAAATGCAGCTTGACCCATTAATTTCTCAGGGTTGTTAAAGAACCGATAAATACCATTATAATATAATGTTGTGGGATGATCGAAGAAAAAGTCACCATAGAACCAGCCAAAATCACCAAGAACTTCAAACTCGGAAACCGATGCCCATATATGTAAAGCTATTAACAAAGCACCAAAAATATGGCGTAACAATACCATACCATAAGTCCAATCTTTAGGGAAATAATACATCTTCCAAGCAGCAGAGATAAACGTTGCATATGTCATGCATAAAGAGAGATTATATATGCTGAGAATTCAAAAAAGAACATTAAAAGACAAGTATTTCAAATAGCAGAAATTACAAATTAGCAATGTATATAAAGACACACCTCTTCCAGTTAGAGAATGCATCACCAGCAGTACCACCAAATTTAATATAATGTTTTGTTAAAAACTTTTCCTTGCTTTGATAATATAAAACAGCACCTAATATATACGAATGAAATATCCTCCATAATACGCATTGTATAAAGAAGAAAATCTTGACAAAGTTATCGGAAGCACCGGCAATTAATAACGGGATGATAGTGGCATAAAATATAATGATGACGACGAAAAGGTCACTCGAACGTAAAGGATCAAAATTCTTAAAAACTATAAGATCACGTCGAAAGCGATGGCTTAATGTAAGAGACAAATCAGGGATAGAAGACTGGATGGATTCATTTGATGTATGAGTATTTGGTACGGCCAATTTTGTTAGTTTAGCATTGAGAGGCGTTGGTGGATTATATGTTTTGTCAATGTCTACGTACGAAGGAAGCCGTGTGAATTAAATTGGAATAAATTAGATATATTTGTTGAAATTTAACTTACGAGGATTTTCGACAAACGATAAAAAGGCAAATTGTAAAGCATGAGCTGCCAAGCTTACAAACAATACAGTGTAGCTAGCCATCATCAAAGATATGCCATAATAACCTATATATCCGACCGAATACATTGGATGTGGTGCCAATTCAAATACACCCTCAAATGTTAGTGATTGGTCAACAAGGAAAAAGAAGTCACCCCAATCTGCAATACATACAATCAGTGATTAATTTTTTTTTAAAAAAAAAATGGCATTTGAAAAAAAACAATTAGAAAGAAAAGAAAACCTAAAAACAATTACACCAAGCGTAATCTTTGACGATGCGATGAGCATCTTTTTTTACCCAAATGTTGAACCATAACAAGGATAAACCACCAACCCAACGCAGGATATTAATAATTATGCCAGAATTTTCAGGAATATTAAAATTAGCAAGTGCAAAGCAGATGTACGTGGTGAAATCATTCAAAAGAATAAGATCAACTAATTGACGGAAGAGTAGCCACGTGTTAAACTCCAAAGGAACATTCTGTTAAACAATGAAATCAAATACCATTAGTAAAATGAAGTTAATATAAAGAAAAAATATATTAGTCTAAAAAATTTACATCGAAATTATAATCATCACCCATTTTAGCACTCAATTCCTCTTTAAAGAAACTATACCACTTGCCACCTTCTTTTCTATCAAAAATCTTTAGGCGTTTGATCCACGTTACTAATCCATGTTTATCACTTTGGTATTTCAATAACGTGCCCAATCCAACGTTGTATGCAATTCTCCAACAAATGAAAAGGACTAAGAAAAACCTTCGTTTGATATGTGATGGAAGAACAAAAAATAACACGATCTGAAAACCCATGATTGCCAAGATCATTACATCGAACGCGGATTTTTTAGAATTAGGATCGAAAACAGAAGTTAGCATGTCGGCAGTTTGTGGAACTTTGAAAACTGCAAATAATAATATATTTTAGAAATAATAATGAATTAATGAACACATGCGAAAGGGGTAATTTTTAAGTTAAAGCATCTAATCTATAATCTAAACATTATTAATAAATTTTGCGAAGAATATAAAATGATGTAATGCGAATCAAAAAATCATACGCATATGATTCGATATCAATCCTAGTTTTATTAAATTTTATAATACCTTCTCCACTTGGCGTCTTTCCATTGACAACATTATTATTATTTTTTTTTATATCGTCATTTTTTAAAACGTGTCGATTATCTTTTGCGTTTATTGCTAAATTATCAACTGTTCTTTGTCGAAGCTCAGTGCCAGAACTCATTATATTACAGCTTTTTTTTTTTTAATAATAAACGTAAAGAAGAGAGTCCGCGCTTTTAAGTTTTTTTTTTTTTGTAATTTTTATGTCCGTGAGGACATGTGATGCTTCACAATACGACAAAACCGGAGTTTGATCATCGTACGACAGTAGTCTGTTTGCAAATCATCCATTTATAACATTCAAGGAAAATCTTCGCATGTAAATCATAGGTGGACAGCTATTTACCATTTCTTTTTCGTTTCCGAAACAAAGTACAAATTAACGCAGTAATGTAATCTTTCATCATCGTGTAACTATTGTTTTTTTTTTTTTAACTAAAAAAGAAAACCTTGTGACTAAGTGCGCAGAAGGGTACAGGAACAAAACAATTACCTCATTATTATTCAATATTGTTCTATAACAATATACCCTAATCCTTGGATTCATGTGAATTAATAACTTGGAAATTAGAAGAGTTCTAAGAACATCATGTGATTTAGAAGTGTCTGGCATATAAAAGTATTTCGAGAAAAAAAAAAAAAAAAAAAAAAAAAAAAAAAAAAAAAAAAGGGGATATAGTGCATCATTTCGCATATATTGATATTTGACTATTTGGCGATTAAACTTTTGATACGACGTATGAAGTCAGGGATAATACGTAAATTCATTCCCATATCTGGCATGACAAAATAATATATTGATATCAAAATATTAATTAATAACGATAAAGCAAGCATACAATTAACCAATCAAATACGTACAACAATTTTCATAATCGGTTTCATGACGGTTCATAAGCAATTTATAACTCACAATTCATAAACCGTTTTGCATTGTACAATACCTTTGACTTGCTGAAACATATGTGTTTAGAAAAATAACTAGTGTATCTCATGCCAAAGTATTGCCATAGGCATATTGAAACGCGCGTTCAAGTTTATCATTGTAGGTAATAATCTCTACTGTATTGCTAATTTTGCGCTTTTCATGATACTACGGTATTTTGTCTTTATTGATTTGACTACAATTATATCAAGTGAGATAAACGTAGCACGACTAAGACGTGTTTTATTATTTCATTGAATGCATTAAAATTAGACCATTTTTATAGCAGTATTGCATTTTGAATTACTATATTTAATTTTGCATTAAATGCGCTTCATCAACAAATGGCAAAATTGCCTTGCTATTGCATATTGTAGAAATTATACTGTGGTTAATTTAAATTATTTAAATTGTCTTATACGTATTTGTTATAATACATATGTATAATAAAAAACATACTTACACGTTAGATAGTAATGTTCAATGTCTCCAGATTTTTTTGATGGTGGAATTTAACTCTTCCGAAGTTTTGCCGTTTCTCCTTTAAGTTTTTCGAATTCAGCGGCAGTAACCATTCTCCATGAAAAACAATTTCCATTATTACGGGTGCTTTTGTTTGTAACCAATTGCCGAAACTTTTATTTGATTTTAAGAACTCTGTCGCATCTTATAAATTTCATGAATTTATAGTTATTTATCATGATGTAAGTAGGGTGTGTGGCACGGCGGTCATGGGCATGCCATCATGGCATGCCCAAAACAAAAATAGTCTATAGGCATGCCACTTATATGATACGTCTCGCTCTGGCTAAACAGATATTTGGATATTCCGGAATATTCCGAGTAGAAAATCAGACAACATAAAATTACAAGAGAAAATTGAAGCAAAGGTCCGAAATATTCCGGAAGA